GGTTGCATCATTGAGACATTTCATTGGTGTGGTAGACTATCCATGAAAGGGCTCAATGTGCAAGGTGGCGTTTTCTTGTCCCCTCACCTACTATAGTCATTAGGAGAATGGCATTGCATTTGATTATGAAATGCAGTCTATGGAACACCTTCTCAGGAGGGTGTTCAATACATGTATTGTAACATGTATTTTATGTTATGTCGTACATGTATTTTTATGTTATGTCGTTTTAATAAAAACGGCCATTTTCAATCATTATGTCTTTCTGGTTTTTATTGACTATCGTACTATTACATAGCTTGCTGCTTGACTGATAGGTGCGAACCATTCAACATAAAACAACAATTAAATACAGAATGTATTTTATTGCATTTATGTTGGTGGTAACGGTTTATTTTGGGATTCTTTCTTTTGGCCCTAGAATATATTTTCCTAGTGAGCAAGGCGAACAGGACGCACATGCGTATGAATATATGATCACGTGGTCTAGCTAAGCGTCACTTGGAAAATTTCTTCACGGGCAGAAAGGTAGGGCGCTATTTTAAACATTGATTTCTTCCCGCCACCGTCCCCTTACACCTCTAATTTTATATGATGTCATAATACTCATGGTATGTTTAACAGTTATTCAAGGTTTGGGCGTTTTCTTGTCCCCTCACCTACTATAGTCATTAGCAGAATGGCATTGCATTTGATTATGAAATGCAGTCTATGGAACACCTTCTCAGGAGGGTGTTCAATACATGTATTGTAACATGTATTTTATGTTATGTCGTACATGTATTTTTATGTTATGTCGTTTTAATAAAAACGGCCATTTTCAATCATTATGTCTTTCTGGTTTTTATTGACTATCGTACTATTACATAGCCTGCTGCTTGACTGATAGGTGCGAACCATTCAACATAAAAACATTTGTAAAAACAGTTCTTAAAGTACCTATATAAACAACACACAACTTACCTGTTGGTGAGAAACGGAAACAGGAAATAGATTGTCCTTCTTATGACAAAGGATGGAAAAGTCTAGAGAATTCCGAGTGACTTCCTTAACTTCTAATATACAAGAAGATTCTGGGGCGAAAACTGGTGAAATGGACAAAATCTGGGTCAAATTCGTAACCCGGTGGGTGAAGTTATAAAACCGGGTGAAGGGCTAAAATCCTGGGGGTAACCCGACAAAATCGGGTTACTTGGCAGGCATGCTCACTATAAACTTAACATTATTCCACCCCTGAAGCAACTTACAGCCTGCAAGTCAATATATCACAGTGACTTATAGACCCTTTGTGTCGGGTGCTAGGCATTTCTTTTTTAAATTTGTGGATCATCTTGAAAGTATGAAATTATGATGTATATGTCACTTTAACACAGTACATTGTATTGTATTCACTCCAATCCAATGTTTCTGGGTATCTGTATATAACCGATGTGATAGTGAACATACTAATTGGTTCTTTTTACACATTGATCAACTGCTACATCAGAGGAGATTGAGGTTTTCTGGAGCTTTCACCATTATATTTTTTCCGCTATGGAAATGGACCTGTTAGTTCAAAAATTAATTTTACAATACCAATCTTATTTTCATTATGTTTTGTAATTAAAAATGATCCATTTGCACCAGATAAATTTCATCATGAGAAGCATGTTTTAACAAGTTAAACAGCAGGACACCACATTAAAGGATGTTTTACTGCATCAGACTTGAACGCGATAGTTTTTGGCATTTTGGATAGGAATAGCTTTTCCGAAAAATTAATCTCCTTCCCCGATCCAACCCCGACCGAAAATGTCAAGATCTCTTGCCCAGAACAAAATGATGTGTTGCGAATCGTTATACTTTACACATACCATTAAAGATTCTTTTACTCCTAGGTTCGTTTATCTCAGAGTTCCCTTCCAGAATATATTTATCACACAGAATGATTTCCTAGTACGATGGGGGACTTAAGAAATCTATATATGCTGGTGTTGTGTTAGTTATAGGAAATGTCTAGCCCTTTGGCCTGTAACAAGTGTAGAAGTAAGAGTAATATATAGAACTAAAATGATTGACGTTAAAAAATTTCAACCAATATAAACCTATTCTGTCTGTAAAACATCCATTTCCTGCATGATCATCACTTTCATATCACCATTTAGAAATATCTATCAAGTTAAAAAAAAAAATATGATTACTTTAAATTATGACCTTTATCTTGAACTTGAGGACTTCCAGAAGTTACAGTGATTGATGTGACTGAAAATTGCCAACTAAAGGCTCAATTGAACATATTTTGGTACTCTTGCAAAGATGGGACTATATATGTATATATATCAATTTATGGCACAAAGTGTTTCCCATTATACTGTTTTAGTATTGTCTATATAATGTGCTTCTGTTAATGTCACTTGTTTAGAGTTGACCTCTGGTTTACATCACTTCAATTTGGATGTGGTAGTGAGTGGTCGTGAATGGTGATCCGTAAGTGTGGTGGTGAGTGGTGGTGAGTGGTGGTGAGTGGTGACTGTGGTGGTGACTGTGTGGTGGTGGTGAGTGGTGACTGTGGTGGTGACTGTGTGGTGGTGGTGAGTGGTGGTGAGTGGTGATCAGTAAGTGGGGTGACTGTGTGGTGGTGAGTGGTAGTGATGGTGGTGACTGGTGGTGGTGAGTGGTGGTGACTGAGGTGGTGTGTGGTGGTGAGTGGTGGTGAGTGGTGACTGTGGTGGTGGTGGTGAGTGGTGGTGAGTGGTGATCAGTAAGTGGGGTGACTGTGTGGTGGTGAGTGGTGGTGACTGTGGTGGTGAGTGATGTGACTGTGTGGTGGTGAGTGGTGGTGACTGAGGTGGTGTGTGGTGGTGAGTGGTGGTGACTGTGTGGTGGTGAGTGGGGTGACTGTGGTGGTGAGTGGTGGTAAGTGGTGATCAGTAAGTGGGGTGACTGTGTGGTGGTGAGTGGTGGTGACTGTGTGGTGGTAAGTGGTGGTAGGTGGTGACCAGTAAGTTTGGTGACTGTGGTGGTGGGTGGTGGTGAGTGGTGGTGACTGGTGATCAGTAAGTGGGGTGACTGTGTGGTGGTGAGTGGTGGTGACTGTGTGGTGGTAAGTGGTGGTGAGTGGCGATCAGTAAGTGGGGTGACTGTGTGGTGGTGGGTGGTGGTGAGTGGTGATCAGTAAGTAGGGTAAGTGGGGTGACTGTGTGGTGGTGGGTGGTGGTGAGTGGTGGTTAGTAAGTGGGGTGACTGTGTGGTGGTGGGTGGTGATCAGTAAGTGGGGTGTCTGTGTGGTGGTGGTGTGGTGGTGGTGTGGTGGTGGGTGGTGGTGGTAAGTGGTGGTGACTGTGTGGTGGAAAGTGGTGGTGGTGTGGTGGTGGGTGGTGGTGGGTGGTGATCAATAAGTGGGGTGACTGTGTGGTGGTGAGTGGGGTGGTGGGTGGTGGTGGGTGGTGATCAGTAAGTGGGGTGACTGTGCGGTGGTGAGTGGTGGTGACTGTGGTGGTGGGCAGTGATCAGTAAGTTTGGTGACTGTGTGGTGGGTGGGGGTAGGTGGTGATCAGTAAGTGGGGTGGCTGTTTGGTGGTGAGTGGTGGTGACTGTGGTGGTGGGCAGTGATCAGTAAGTTTGGTGACTGTGTGGTGGGTGGTGGTAGGTGGTGATCAGAAAGTGGGGTGACTGTGTGGTGGTGAGTGGTGGTGACTGTGGTGGTGGGTAGTGATCAGTAAGTTTGGTGACTGTGTGGTGGGTGGTGGTAGGTGGTGATCAGTAAGTGGGGTGACTGTGTGGTGGTGAGTGGTGGTGACTGTGTGGTGGTGAGTGGTAACCAGTAAGTTGGGTGACAGTGTGTTGGTTGGTGGTGGGTGGTGAACAGTAAGTGGGTTGACTGTGTGGTGGTGGTGTGGTGGTAAGTGGTATTGACTGTGGTGGTAGGGGGTGATCAGTAAGTGGGGTGACTGTGTGGTGGTGGGTGGTGATCAGTAAGTGGGGTGACTGTGTGGTGGTAAGTGGTGGGAAATGGTGGGGGTGTGGTGGTGGGGGGTGATCAGTAAGTGGGGTGACTGTGTGGTGGTAAGTGGTGGTGAGTTGCGATCAGTAAGTGGGGTGACTGTGGTGGTGAGTGGTGGTGAGTGGTGATCAGTAAGTGGGGTGACTGTGTGGTGGTGGGTGGTGGTGAGTGGTGATTAGTAAGTTTGGTGACTGTGTGGTGGTAAGTGGTGGTGAGTGGCGATCAGTAAGTGGGGTGACTGTGTGGTGGTGAGTGGGGTGACTGGGTGGTGGTGAGTGGGGTGACTGTGGTGGTGAGTGGGGTGACTGGGTGGTGGTGAGTGGTGATCAGTAAGTAGGGTGACTGTGTGGTGGTGAGTGGGGTGACTGTGTGGTGGTGGTGGGTGGTGATCAGTAAGTGGGGTGACTGTGTGGTGGTGGTAAGTGGTGGTGGGTGGTGGTGAGTGGTGGTGATCAGTAAGTGGGGTGACTGTGTGGTGGTGGTGTGGTGGTGGGTGGTGGTTGGTGGTGATCAGTTAGTGGGGTGACTGTGTGGTGGTGAGTGGTGGTGGTGACTGTGTGGTGGTGAGTGGTGGTGGGTGCTGATCAGGAAGTGGGGTGACGGTGGTGGTGAGTGGTGGTGAGTGGTGATCAGTAAGTGGGGTGATTGTGTGGTGGTGAGTGGTGTGGGGAGTTGGGTGTGGGATGTGGGGTGTGTAGGTGGGTGGGGAATGGAGAGTGTGAGTGAGGATGTGGGTGTGGAGTGAGGTGATGGGTGGGAAGTGGGGTGATGGGTGGGGTTGGGTATGGAGTGTGATGGTGGGTGGGGAGTGGGATGTTATGGTGGGATAAAAATGAAAACAATATCCTTCTCTTAAATCTCTTGATTGTGATCCCACATGCACATGTTACGATACTGATATTATAAACTATAGATTAAATTAAGATTACCTATCAAATGAAATGCAGAACAATATCTCATATTTAAGAAGCCACATGATATGATAATACTTTAAGTCATTTTCCTTTATAGTTCAAAATTATCCTGTGATGGTGGGTGGGGGGTGTAGTGTGGTGGTGGGTGGGGTGGGGTGTGTAGTTTGGTGGTGGGTGGAGTGGGGCGTGGAGTGTGGTGGTGGGTGGCGTGGGGTGAGGTGTGGAGTGTAGTGGTTATAGGTGTGGGGTATGAGGTGTGGAGTGTGGTGGTGGATGGGGTGGGATAGCGTGTGGAGTGTGATGGTGTATGGGGTATGGAGTATGGTGGAGGGTTGGGGTGTGGAGTGTGGTGGTTGGTGGGATGGGGTGTGGATTGTGGTGGTGGGTGGGATGGGGTGTGAAGTATGATGGTGGTAGGTGGGGTGGGGTGTGGGGTGTGGAGTGTGGTGGTTGGTGGGATGGGGTGTGGAGTGTGGTGGTGGGTGGGATGGGGTATGGAGTGTGGTGGTAGGTGGGATGGGGTGTGAAGTGTGATGGTGGTTGGGATGGGGTGTGGGGTGTTGAGTGTGGTGGTAGGTGGGGTTGGGTGTGGAGTGTGGTGGTGGGTGGGATGGGGTGTGGAGTGTGGTGGTGGGTGGGATGTGGTATGGAGTGTGGTGGTAGGTGGGATGGGGTGTGAAGTGTGATGGTGGTTGGGATGGGGTGTGGGGTGTGGAGTGTGCTGGTTGGTGGGGTTGGTTGTGGAGTGTGATGGTTGGTGGGGTGTGGGGTGTGGAGTGTGGAGTGTGGTGGTTGGTGGGGTGGGATGTGGGGGGTATAGGTGGGTGGGGAATGGAGAGTGTGGTAGTGGGATGTGGTGGGGTGGGGTGGGGTGGGGTGTGGAGTACGATGGTTGGTGGGGTTGGGTGTGGAGTGTGGTGGTAGGTGGGGTGTGGGGTGTGGAATGTGGTGGTGGGTTGGGTAGGATGAGGTTTGGAGTTTGATGGTGGGTGGGGAGTGTGATGGTGGATGGGAAATGGGGTGTGAGTGAGGATGTGGGTGTGGAGTGAGGTGATGGGTGGGGAGTGGGGTGATAGGTGGGATGAGGATGTGGGTGTGGAGTGAGGGTGTGGAGTGAGGTGATGGGTGGGAAGTGGGGTGATGGGAGGAGTTGGGTATGGAGTGTGTTGGTGGGTGGGGAGTGGGATGTTATGGTGAGATAAAAAAGAAAACAATATGCTTCTCTTAAATCTCTTGATTGTGATCCCACATGCACATGTTACGATACTGATAGTATAGACTATAGATTAAATTAAGATTACCTATCAAATGAAACGCAGAAAAACATCTCATATTTAAGAAGCCACATGATATGATATTACTTTAAGTAATTTTCCTTTATAGTTCAAAATTATCATTATCAAAATTTGTCTGCTACAGGAAACTCGTGAATCATCATACAGGTCCCTGTGATTTAATACTTATTCTGGTCACTATGATCAAGCAGCATACAGGTCCCTGTGATTTAATACCTACTAGGGTCACTATGATCAAGCAGGAAACAGGTTCCTGTGATTTAATACCTACTAGGATCACTATGATCAAGCAGCATACAGGTTCCTGTCATCTAATACTTATTCTGGTCACTATGACCAAGCATCATTCAGGTCCCTGTGATTTAATACCTACTAGGGCCACTATGATCAAGCAGCATACAGGTTCCTGTGATTAAATACCTACTAGGGTCACTATGATCAAGCAGGAAACAGGTTCCTGTGATTTAATACCTACTAGGATCACTATGATCAAGCAGCATACAGGTTCCTGTGATTTAATACCTACTAGGATCACTATGATCAAGCAGCATACAGGTTCCTGTGATTAAATACCTACTAGGGTCACTATGATCAAGCAGCATTCAGGTTCCTGTCATCTAATAATTATTCTGGGCACTATGACCAAGCATCATACAGGTCCCTGTGATCTAATACTTATTCTGGTCACTATGACCAAGCATCATACAGGTCCCTGTGATCTAATACTTATTCTAGTCACCATGATCAAGCAGCATAGAGGTCCCTGTGATCTAATGCTTATTCTGGTCACTATGACCAAGCAGCATACAGATCCCTGTGATCTAATACTTATTCTGGTCACTATGACCAAGCAGCATACAGGTCCCTGTGAGTTAATACCTACTAGGGTCACTATGATCAAGCAGCATACAGGTTCCTGTGATTTAATACCTACTAGGGTCACTATGATCAAGCAGCATACAGGTTCCTGTGATTAAATACCTACTAGGGTCACTATGATCAAGCAGCATTCAGGTTCCTGTCATCTAATAATTATTCTGGGCACTATGACCAAGCATCATACAGGTCCCTGTGATCTAATACTTATTCTAGTCACCATGATCAAGCAGCATAGAGGTCCCTGTGATCTAATGCTTATTCTGGTCACTATGACCAAGCAGCATACAGATCCCTGTGATCTAATACTTATTCTGGTCACTATGACCAAGCATCATACAGGTCCCTGTGATCTAATACTTATTCTAGTCACTATGATCAAGCAGCATACAGGTCCCTGTGATCTAATACTTATTCTAGTCACCATGATCAAGCAGCATAGAGGTCCCTGTGATCTAATGCTTATTCTGGTCACTATGACCAAGCAGCATACAGGTCCCTGTGAGTTAATACCTACTAGGGTCACTATGATCAAGCAGCATACAGGTTCCTGTGATTAAATACCTACTAGGGTCACTATGATCAAGCAGCATACAGGTTCCTGTGATTAAATACCTACTAGGGTCACTATGATCAAGCAGCATTCAGGTTCCTGTCATCTAATAATTATTCTGGTCACTATGACCAAGCATCATACAGGTCCCTGTGATCTAATACTTATTCTAGTCACCATGATCAAGCAGCATAGAGGTCCCTGTGATCTAATACTTATTCTGGTCACTATGACCAAGCAGCATACAGATCCCTGTGATCTAATACTTATTCTGGTCACTATGATCAAGCAGCATACAGGTCCCTGTGATCTAATACTTATTAAGGCCACTATGATCAATCACATAAAGGTCCCTATGATAAAATACTTATTCTGGTCAATATGATCAAGCAGCATACAGGTCCGTGTGATCTAATACTTATTCTGGTCACTATGATCAAGCAGCATACGGGTCCCTGTGATCTAATACTTTTTAAGGTCACTATGATCAAGCAGCATACAGGTCCCTGTGATCTAATACTTATTCTGGTCACTATGATCAAGCAGCATACAGGTCCCTGAGATCTAATACTTATTTAGGTAACTATGATCAAGCGGCATACAGGTCCCTGTGATCTAATACTTATTAAGGCCACTATGATCAATCAAATACAGGTCCATGTGATCTAATACTTTTTAAGGTCACTATGATCAAGCAGCATACAGGTCCCTGAGATCTAATACTTATTTAGGTAACTATGATCAAGCGGCATACAGGTCCCTGTGATCTAATACTTATTAAGGCCACTATGATCAATCACATACAGGTCCATGTGATCTAATACTTATTCTGGTCACTATGATCAATCACATAAAGGTCCCTATGATAAAATACTTATTCTGGTCAATATGATCAAGCAGCATACAGGTCCCTGTGATCTCATACTTATTAGGGTCACTATGATCAAGCATCATACAGGTCCCTGTGATCTCATACTTAGTCTGGTCACTATGATCAAGCATCATGCTTACATGTTATGAATGACAAAAACAAACAAGAGGCCCATGGGCCTTAACGGTCACTTGAGTCTACAGTATTTATTTTTGTTGTTGAAATATGTACCAATTTGAGTAAAAAATAGTATAATGTTAACTTAACTTTGTCAGGACCATGAGCTGATCATTCCTAGACCAATTTTAAGTGAGATCGGCCTATTAGAACTTAGTAGCAAAATAGCGGCCATGGCAGCCAAATTGTATTTCTGATTGACCCGAAAAATAACAACACTTTGTCAGGACCATGAGGCGATCATTCCTACCAACTTTCAGTTCAATCGGTCCAGCAGAACTTGACTTTAAGTTTGAAATAGGTTTTCAAAATGGCGGCCGTGGCGGCCATATTGGATTTCTGATCGACCCGAAAAATAACAACACTTTGTCAGGACCATGAGGCGATCATTCCTACCAACTTTTAGTTCAATCGGCCCAGCAGAACTTGACTTTAAGTTTGAAATGTAAAATGTTAACGGACGACGGACGACGGACGACGGACGATGGACGACGGACGACGACGGACGAAAACGGATAGCAATAGGTCACTTGAGCTAAAGCTCAGGTGACCTAAAAATTATATATGCATCACATAAATAGCTTGATGTATGTTATTAGCATTCCTTAAGACTTTCAACACATTCTGTCTCACAAGGAAAGGCATATAGAGCCTTATTACATAAAGGACGATTGAGTCAATCATGATCTTAGTATAAAGACTAAGACAATGAAGCTTGACAGAGATTCCCAGTTTTGACCGTCTTTACAGATACATGACGTACGAGACTTGTTTATACAGGAAGTACACTAATTCTATAGCATTGTTGTCTGCAGGAGTTGATGACAGTATCCGCCTGTAAATTCATTTCTCACTTGTCCAAAGTGACAATACATCAATTAAGTAAAGCTAAACAGCTTTTATGTCTTCCTCAACACAATATACATCATATCAATTTTTTTTTTTTTAAATATCAAATTTCACAAAATATAGCTGGTGATATGTCATTTAAACTATATGTTTTTCCATGATGTGTTGATTTCGGCTTCAATATTTTCCTATAAACATTTCTAAATGAAACACACATGATTAAGATGTAACATTTTTTATGGAATGTTTTGCTTTCTGTTGATCATGAATGCCACCAGACTGCTGAAATGAACCCAAACCCGGACTAGAAATGACCCAATAAATCGATGTTAGCTATTACTAAGTGAAATCCTATATGATAATATTGACACTTAATGTACCTTGTAATCCTATATGATAATACAGACACTATGTACCTAGCTAGCTCAGCGTGTATTGTTACAACTATTGATGGTCACAACAAAAGCTGTATATATCTGGGGCATGACCACTGTCACTCTCAAGGTTAGCGTCATTACTAGACAAATATCTAAATATCTAGAAAAAGTGACATTGAGTTCGACCTTGAAACCCTGCAAATGAAACTAATTTTGAGGTATTCTCACACTTGACGTTTGTATAATGTTTGATTGAAATCTGTTGATCTGATATGAAGCTGTAACACTGTAAGTTGACCTTGGAACTCTGAAATAAATTTGATGTATTGCCACACCTGATGTCTACAAAATTTAATCAAAATTAATTCAGGGACAAAGTCTCCACAGAGAGATGACACTGAATCTGAATGGGAGGGAACAGGACGCCACCTGATGGTTCCTTCCCACTTCAAGACCCCTGCACACTACCATCCGAGCTAACAAGAGTGATTATGAATACAACTTGACATACTTTTAATAATTATAAACATAATTATTGGAAAATGAATAAACTTTACATTTACTATGGGATAGGACAGCCAAACTAAGGTAATGCTACCTATACTAGTTGCTCATATTTGTGTAGTAGGACAAGGAAAAGTGATAAAGATAGTGCCCTCTCTGGGGCTATAACATGCGACCCTTGGCTCTCTAGCCTGATGCTCTTAACGCTGAGCTAAAGGGGAATTCCCTACAGCTGACACTTGTAAGGCAACTAATCAATGCAAATCTTTTACACTATTCCCCCCTTTTTTCAAACATCAACCTAGGTTCTTTGAATCCCTGCCAAGGGTTCTCCTACTTTGAAAGGGCAGGGTCAACGGCACCAATTTGTAGTAGGATGAGGAATAGCAACTAAGATAGTAACGTCACTGGGGCTCGAACCCGCGGCCCTTGGCTCTCCTGTTACAGTGTTGCGTGTGGTCAACCCTTGTGGTGTATACTTGGCAAGGGGATACCCGAACCTGGGTTGTAAATAGTTGTGTCTTCGGGGGCGAAGACTTAGAAAAAGGAGGGAGGAATGTAGCGGAACTGGACTGGGTCTATCGTCAGCGACCAGATAGTCCAATTGGTGGAGCGTCCGTCTGGAGTTCAGTTTCGGGTTCATACACCAGTCTGGCCGTGCATTTTTCCTCTCCTGTTACAGTGGCCCCTTTACAGCCATCCATACACCAGGTTTCCTATCCCCTAGACCAACTCTCTATTGACATTCTTGGTGGTGTACCAGTAACATCCAATAACATGCGTTACATTATGGTTGTCTGTGATTACTTTAGTAAGTGGACGGAAGCGTATGCCCTTTCAAATCACACATCCCTTACAGTAGCTATTAAGCTGTGCTCTTAGTTTGTAGTAGGACGAGGAATAGTGATGAAGATAGCGCCGTCGCTGGGGCTCAAACCCGCGACCCATGGCTCTCTAGCCTGATGCTCTATCGCTGAGCTAAAGGGAAATTCCCTACAGCTGACACTTGTAAGGCAACCTAATCAATGAACATCTTTTACATTTGTTTTGAGTTTTAGGTCCTGGGTGTATGCATTTAATTCACATTCTGTCTCTTGCATTTGCCCTCTAATTTACATGGGGAGCTAATATATGATTTTGATTTAAACATATTTTATTGCAAATAAATATTTACAAAAGAATTGGACACAAGTTTTCACAACTTATCAAAGTTCTTTTCTTCAAATACTTGAATATAAACAATAACTTGATCAGGTAATTTACACAATATATATAAATTATGTTTTTATGTGGAAATGGAAAATAGAGAGAAAGAAAAGACGGAGAGTGAAACGAAGTAAAGGAAAGTAACACAGGTAGAGTCGGTGAAAAAAGAGTGATAGAGAGAGAAAGATGATCTCATTCAGCCAAACCGGTTGCATTTGCTGATATAATTTTGAACAGATTTTGCAATTGAGGTATTTTCATCATGGCTGAATTTAGGATCGCCATATAGGAGCAAGTCTAAAGTTAAATCATCACCAATTAAGAAGACTGCCCTGATGTCAGAAGAAGAAGAAGATGGATTATATCATAGGAAAGAATACACAGGTAGAGTCGGTGTAAAAAGAGTGATAGAGATAGAAGTGGGTCAGCTAAATATAATATATATATAAACTAAATACCTACAGAAAGTCTTGCTTGTCTTTTGAGTCAAGGAGTTTTGTTGAATTGGAAAGGAAAATGTAGCTGAACTAGTCTTTGACCAGGTACAACATTCATATAATTTTTAAAGCATTTATTTGATTTATGTCTGCCTTCACAGTGTCAATGTTGTCATTCTTCATTTCCCTAATGGTATAGTCAATTCTGTACAGCACAATTGCAATCACCATAGGGAAAAGTCATAACCGGTCGCTTAATAAAAGTGTTTGTTTAATAAAGTTTGGACCACATTATTTTACAGAATTTGACACGACTGACCCACTAACCGATAATTGACCATTATTGTAAGAGCACCAAATTGATAACAATTAAGATAACACTACAGACTTAAAAGGTTTAACACTATTACCACTTCTACTGTAAGTGGGTCAAGTTCATTTCTTCGAGAGAAAAAAATCTATTCCTTCCTCCTCAAATCTGCTAACTGTCCTTTTTCATTCTCTTGCCTGCAACAAAACAATAGCTTTTGTCCTGTTGATATCTGACCTTCAAGGTGGACATTGCGAGTCTCTAGTTTGTATTCCCTAGTTTTCTGACTATGCTACTGTCACTGTCTCTCCTTGTTATCACACAATGAAGAGTTCCAATAACAAACTGTGTCCACTTTCTTTCAACGGAGGACATTTTTATCACTATTGTTCAGTTGGTGCAGACAGGTATGATCTGAAAGTTTAATGGTCAGAGTGTTTTATGAACTGTCATTAAATGACAAATATAGTCTTGCTGTTGGCATCACTCCTTGTCTGGTCATAAAACTGTGTTTTCTTCTGAATAATGTGTACCTTCCACAGTAGAAATAAAAGTATTCACTTTTTATTTTATTTTTTTTTTTTTTTATTAAAGATATAATAATAAAGAACATTTTTTTTACTTATTAACAGTAACTTGATATTTTCATAAAAACAATAAAGCTAATTTTGAGATTATTTATTCATTGTAAATTAAACCTGTCTTAAAAGACAACCTGTGTTAAGAGACCAACTCTAGTGTCTCCCAATGTAGTGATTCATTGATAATTAACCCTGTGTGAAGAGACCACTTGTAGTGTTTCCCAATGCAATGTTTCATTGTGAATTAAACATGTCTTAAGAGACCACCTGTGCTAAGAGACCACTTTTTGTACTTTCTGAAAATGGTCTCTTTAAACAGGTTTGACTATATGTGATATAAGGAAGGGTAGCCACATAGCAACTACCACCTCTACTTAGAAACCACCTGTGGTAAGATATCACCTATGTTAAGAGACCACCTGTGCTAAGAGACCACTTTTTGTACTTTCTGAAAATGGTCTCTTTAAACAGGTTTGACTATATGTGATATAAGGAAGGGTAGCCACATAGCAACTACCACCTCTACTTAGAAACCACCTGTGGTAAGATACCACCTATGTTAAGAGACCACCTGTGGTAAGATACCACCTATGTTAAGAGACCACGTGTGGTAAGATACCACCTATGTTAAGAGACCACCTGTGGTAAGAGACCACCTGTGTTAAGAGACCACCTATGTTAAGAGACCACCTGTGTTAAGAGACCACCTATGTTAAGAGACTACTTGTGTTAAAGAGACCTTCTGTGTAAAGAGACCCATGTTTTAAGAGACCACCTGTGTTAAGAGACCACCTGTGTAAAGAGACCCATGTTCAGAGACTACCTGTGTTAAGAGACCACCTGTGTTAAAGAGACTACGTTTTTTGGACTTCCTGAGGGTGTATGTCTCTTTAAACAGGTTAGACTGTATGTGATATAAGTAAGGCAACCACACAGTTACAGATATGACACAGTAGAGGCAGCTATCAGAGATGTGTAATGATCAGCATTCATCATTATCAAACATCACAATGTGAGGCCAGTAATGGGAAGGTGTACAGCAGAACTGGTTTGTTGTGGTTCAGAATCACAGAAACAAGATCTAAACATTACATTACACAGGTACCCCTTATAAAGCGCAATGGACTTGCTCAGTTGTTGATTTGGCCCAATCCATCTCTGCCTGTGTAGGATAGAGAGGTTTGGTATTGTACAAATATTGTCAGCGTAAATTGTCAGTACAACAGAAGTCGTAGAGTAATGTTACAAGCTAATGGATCACAGTACTCAATCAGGAGCATACATACACCATGGAACATTGTACCTTCCATTAAACAATCTGTATCATAAAATCCCCAGCAAAAACAAATCTCTTTATTGTAAAACATTTGCATATAAGCCTGAAGTTTACGAGTCAGAAAGTCTCCAATGGTTTATCGGATTCTAACATTTTCTCATTTTCTTTATTATTCAAATAATTCTAAGATAATCAATACCATTAACCATAAATAATTCTTAAAATTATGTATACCAGTAACTGTCTATAAAGGTCACTGCTGTGTAACCAATACATGTCTATAAAGGTAATCACTGTGTAACCAATACCTGTCTATAAAGGTCACCTATGTGTACCAATAACTGTCTATAAAGGTCACTGCTGTGTAACCAATAACTGTCTATAAAGGTCACTGCTGTTACCAATATGTCTATAAAGGTCACCTCTGTGTAACCAATAACTGTCTATAAAGGTCACCAATACCTGTCTATAAAGGTGATCTCTGTGTAACCAATACCTGTCTATAAAGGTCACTACTGTGTAACCAATAACAGTCTATAAAGGTCAACACTGTGTAACCAATACCTGTCTAAAAAGGTCACCTCTGTGTAACCAATACCTGTTTATAAAGGTCACTACTGTGTAACCAATAAATCTATAAAGGTCAACACTGTGTAACCAATACCTGTCTATAAAGGTCACCTCTGTGTAACCAATAACTGTCTATAAAGGTCACCAATACCTGTATATAAAGGCCACTACTGTGTAACCAATACCTGTCTATAAAGGTCACCTCTGTGTAGCCAATGCCTGTATATAAAGGTCACCTCTGTGTAGCCAATGCCTGTATATAAAGGTCACTACTGTGTAACCAATAACAGTCTATAAAGGTCAACACTGTGTAACCAATACCTGTCTATAAAGGTCATTGCTGTGAAACCAATACCTGTCTAAAAAGGTCACTACTGCATAACCAATAACTGTATATAAAGATCATCAATAACTATCTATAAAGGCCGCCTCTGTGTAACCAATACCTGTCTATAAAGGTCACTGCTGTGTAACAAATACCTGTCTATAAATGTCACCAATAACTGTCTATAAAGGTCACCACTGTTTAACCAATACCTGTTTATAAAGGTCATCACTGTGTAACCAATACCTGTCTATAAAGGTCACTATTGTGTAACCAATAACTGTGTATAAAGGTCACAAATACCTGTCTATAAAGGTCATTGCTGTGTTACCAATACCTGTCTATAAAGGTCACTACTGTGTAACCAATAACTGTCTATAAAGGTCACCTCTGTGTAACCAAAACCTGTTTTATCTGTTTATAATTCCTGTTTGTCTGTTTTGTTATACTGTACATATTTGTTTGTAAAGGCCATACATACAAAAACGACCGCTGTTCTGCTGTCTTGGGTGGCTGTACTTTGTCTGATTGATCTTACTGCTGTAGTAAATAATATATAACCAAGGCTGAAGAACTGGCGTGGCATGAAAACTAAATGTCACATTATAAGAAGAAACTTACAGGAAGACCACATCTCATTTTATTGAACCAAAATTGAAAAAAAAATGGTGTATATGAATATTTAAAACCCATTTATCTCAAACTCAAATTTGATAATAAAAATTCTTCATGTAGTGAAATGTCATCTTAAATATTTATGTCAATTTGATTAATTGTTTTCTTTAAATATTAACGTTGATTTGTGATTTTAGTTAAAGTGATAACGATATAAATTACAATTTTGTTAAAATATAACAAAGCACAAACAACTTTCTGTCTTAATTATCAACTGTGTCATTCTATTTATGAAAATTAAATCACCAAATAACTTTTACTTCAAATATTGTGATTATTTTTAAATATGGCAAACTCCAGTTTATTTACCATTTCTAGTTACTCTCACACCAACATACTGTTAACGATTATAGATAAAGAAAACATCAACCATACTAACTTGAGGTACCAATAACATAAATAGCCATATGTATGTTAATACATAATGTATCACGTGACAGGGATCCACATGTGAGAGAGTGTATCATGTGACAGGGCTCCACATGTGAGAGAGTGTATCATGTGACAGGGCTCCACATGTGAGAGAGTGTATCATGTGACAGGGCTCCACATGTGAGAGATTGTATCA